GTATATTTCGCAAGAACAATCCTAGTACAACTTAAACAAGGTCTCACTAATCGTGTCAACCTAATAACGATAAATTATGCTCAACTTCCAACATGGTCAATCTCATCAGTACCTCCTTCATATTCATCCTCCAATTTAAAACTCTACATTGGTCTTGTTTTCAACCCTGAACAATCAAATCGACTAATAGACTATGGGCCATCTCCTGAAGACGAAACAGCAGCATCACAGTTTCGAAAATTATGGGGAAAAAAAGCAGAAGTCCGAAGATTTAAAGATGGTAGTATACTAGAATGTGTGGTTTGGGATGTTAAAGGAATTGAAGAACGTTGTCTTATTGTTAGCAGGATAGTCAAATATCTACTTCATCTCCATTATGGAATAAATGAGAGCAAAGGAATTCAATATTTTACAGGACAATTGAATGAAATTGTCATACCTTCAACAAACATTCCAAAAAGTATTTACAATAAAAATGGAATTGCTAATGGATTTCGAGATGTGATGCAAGCATTCGATAAACTAGTTAAACAATTTATGGCATTAGAGGATGTTCCATTGAGATTTTCAGGCATTCGAGCTGCAAGCTCAGCATTAAGGTACGCTTCAATATTTATACCCCAACCGCTTGCTCTCACAGCTAAGAAAATATCACATTATGTGGATCCAATTGAATTTATAATTCAGTTTGAACATTCTGCGAGATGGCCTGATGATCTTGTGGCCATACAAAAGATGAAAATTGCATTTTATATACGACTTGCATCACAATTAGAGCTCCAATTTCCGGGAACCTGTGCTACAGTAGTAACAGACAATAGCGATACGATCATTTCAGAAGCATATATGGATATACTCGCTGATTCTAGATTCTCATTCAGATGTAGAATATATAATGAGCGAGAAATGACATTATTGGATCGTGGTATCAAAGATAAGATATCTAGTCAACTTAAAAAAAATACGTATACAAAAGCCTTAGAAAGAGAGAAACGAATGTTCGTAGAGATTCCAATGCATACTTTACAAATTCAGACCCTCTGTAACAAGTGGCCAAGTTTGTCATTAACCATCCGACTTACGAAACGATGGTTTAGTACGCATTTGTTAAGCGATCATGTCGACGAAGAGTGGATTGAATGTCTGTCTTCACAGGTTTATTTAGAACCATCGCCTTGGAATAGGCCTAATAGTGGATTTGTAGGGTTTCTCCGAGTTTTAAAATTGATAGCATCTTGGGATTGGAATAATGAAGCAATGATTGTTAATTTAAGTGAAGAAAATAGAAGCACTTTAAAAAATAATAAAAATAGTACAAATGAAAATAAAGTTGAAGATATTAAGATAAAATTTAAGAATTTAAGGTCGTCGGACAGTGATTGCAAATATGGATTAATGTTCATAGGTACTACTAGTGGAAGTGTTTGGGGAATTGAAAAGCCCAGCAAAGTTGTTGCTAATAGGATAAGAGATTTGGCCAGATCTGCGCTTTTGTACGTTGACGAATTGATAGAGAATGGGGAAAATAGGGAGTTCAAGGTATATATTATGTTCATTTTGTGTAATAAAAAGATACATCATTGTGTTCGTTGTCTTATTTTTTATTTATAATAAAATTTTATACTTTAGAGACTTTTTGTAACACCACTTTCAGATTATGACATGATTATTCATTTAGATCCATACCAGTGCACAAGATATTATCAAAATATTTTTGTTGATGCACAGTATTTATCACACGATAAGAAAAAGATATTTTCTTTAAAGGTTGACACTATTGATGAAGGCAATGATAATGTGATGAGAGATGTAA